ATAATAGATACTGGAAGTAATTTTTCTCAAGTCTCAATTTCAACATGCAAAGTGCAAACAACTAAAAGAACTGAAAATGGTAAAACAAAAAGGGAAATACTATTGAATGAAGCAATATATCAAGACCAAGGATATGAAAGGCCATGTTCAAATAACAAAAACAACCCATAATAGATATTTTGCATTCAAATCTCAGTTTCAATTTTCAACATGCAAAAATGAAATATTATATCATTTCATCAATAACAAATACATGAAAGGTACAAGTGCAAACAAACAAAACACAAAATGACCCATATTAGATCATTTCAAGAACCAAGTAAATGAAAGTCAAGTACAAAAAACAAAACTAACCCATAACATATTATTGTATTTTAAACTCAATTTCCACATGTAGAAACCCAAATAACATGAAAAAAAAGTTGAACATTAAAAAGTTCTAAAGATTAGACCTTTATGTAAAAAAAGATAACACATCACAGACCTGAACTGATTGGGTATGTTTCTTATCATCACAGTAGTTTTGTTCCTACTGAAAATAGTAGCAGAAGATTTGCATGGAGAGATAGAAGAACCAGTTTCTTTCTGTGGTTTCCTCATAAAAAACCCTTTTGGCTTCCAACCACTTTCACCAGCTCTCATCAACCTAGGTGGCAAAAGGGGTTTCTTATTTTTCCAATTTTTCTTCATCCCAACACTAAAGATTTCATCTTTACCAACAAAAGACTGATCTTGATGTGTTTTCTCAACCCACATACAATTCTTCTTCACCCCATCACTAAAGATCTCACCTTTTGCAAGAAATGACTGATTTTGAGGTGTTTTTTCAAGTTGATGATAACGATCTCTGTGAATCCAATAAAAGGGAACATTTTGTTGATAGTAGTAGAAATAACCTAAGTGATGATATTGAGGCTGTGAAACATGAAATGGCAGTAATGGTGGCTGATACACAACAAGTTCGTTGCCTTGTGGCAGAAAAGGGACTACTTCTTTTTCTTTATTAGTTGGTTTAAACACTTCTGCATTAGGATTCAGTACTGCCATAACTACAACAAGAGAGGGAAAAAAATGAACTTTTTCAAGAAAGTAGTAAATGCCACCGTTTATGTAAACTATATATACCACAAATACAGAGGGGAGGGTGGGTGAGGGAGTGGTGATTTGGTGGAAGGTTGAGATACGAAGAGAAAATCTTTCATGTGTTTGTTTAAAAAGGTGATGAGTACGTAGTCGACTAGTAGTATCACACTGATCATATAGGTGGAAAACCCCTATAGAGATGTAATCATATCAAGAAGATAGGTGTACAATAGAGAAGTATTAAAAACCTACCTTATCGTTCTCCGTTGTTATATTAATACGTTTATAATTTCAATAATAAATATACAAGAAAAATAGAATATCAAATAGAGTTACTATGAAAAGATAGGAGAAAAGATAAAATATGATTATTAAATAATAATAATAAAGACAAAACAAGAAAAAAATATTGATGTAACAACGCGATCCTACCAAATTAATCAAACATAAAATGTGTCCTTTCGTTATTAATTAACGGTGGATTCAAACGATACGATACAATAAAATTTAGGCTAAACTCATCGATGACACTCTACAGTTGGCACCAAATTTCACTTAGATACTTCAATTAGGCGATATTCATTTTAGACACCTCATGTAGGATTCTGTTGTGTCATTTTGACACTTTTTGCTGATATGTCAAAATGACTGTGATACACCCAATAATAACGCGTGAAAGGCTTAATTTAGCCATCTTTTTATTTTATTTTCTCTTCTTCTTCTCCATTTTTCAAGCCACCATCCCCCACCATTTTTTCAAGCTTAAACTCCTGCAATGGAGGTCGAATTTTTTATGCAAATTTGTTTTTAAGTCATTTTTCTTCTTCTCCATTGTATTTCTTTTCTAAATCTACCATTGCTTTCCTCCACTTTTTGTCGGAAAAATGGATATCAACACCCATATTTCATATTTATTATCTCTTTCTTTCTTTCCAAAAAAACAACACTAAAAAGAAAGAAGAAGAATAAATATGAAAAATAGTAAAAGAAAAGAATAATTTTTTTAAAAAGCACAAAAGAAATTTTGGGTGTAATGAAAAAAGAGATTTTTTTAGAATAATATTTCTATTTTATTTACTAAATAGATTTTAAAATAATTTTTAACTAAAAATAACACATGTAATCATTTAATTGATTGTTTGCCACGTCATCAATGAGTGTATGTATTACACACTCTTTCACTTTTTTGTTATTGTCAGAAAAGTGTCAAAATAATATAACGGAATTCTACATAATGTGTCTAAAATGAACATCGCTTAGTTGAGGTGTCTAAGTGAAACTTGTTGTCAACTTTAGGAGGCCGCCGATGAATTTGGCCTAGAACTTAAGTAACAATCAAAACAAACATTGTATTTAAGCTTACAATACAATTCATCGAGTAACAACCATTCAAACAAGGTGTAAATGTCACATGACATAGCAAGTTAGTTATTAAAAAAAGATAGTATATTTTTATATTTAGTAATAATTTAATTTTAAAATATTTATTTTACTCTTAATAAAATGAGTTAAAATAACTTATAACCATACAAATACTCTTTAGTTTAAAAAGAATGGTCTGCTATTATTTATTTTTTTGAGTATGTTTCAAAAACAAACTTTTTCCTTTTTTAATAATATTTTTATTTTATTTTTTCACATGACATATTTAAAATTATAAAATTAAAAGACATTTTAATATAATAATTTTATATAACTTTATTTTAAAACTACAATCTTTTTAATTATTTGTTGAACTCTGTATTAAATAAAACTAAGTCACTCTTTTTTAAACCGAAAAAGCTTCCTTATATCACAAATTATAAAAATTTCTATTATTTTTTTAGAAAATAACATAGGAAAGGAAGTGAGTATTAAAGTTCATTTGAATTGATTTAAAAGTTGGTCAAATCTACTTTTAGTTCAGTTTTTTACTTTTAGAAGTATTTGATAAATATAAAAAATAACTTAAAATAAGTCAAAAATGACTTAAAATAAGTTACGATGTATTTGACAAGGTAAAAAATGACTTAAAATAAATCAGAAATCAAAAGTAGATCCCCCCTACTTTTAATTTTTGAATTAAAAGTCATTTTAATTTGACTTTTTATTTTTAACTTAATTTTTTTTTTTTTAAATCAATCTAATTTTTTAAGTTAATCCAAACGGACTTTATTTGTCTTTTATGTTGGGACTGTTGTTATGTACATCCAAATAAAATAAAACAAAGAGTATTATAGGGATAGGGATATATGAGGGTAGGCAAAAGTGTCAGAGAAGTAAAATATATATTCACAAAAAAAGGGGGTGTAAAATCTGTGAAATGATGGAAATAGGCAGATTCATTTACTCTAATTATTACACTTCATTTAATGCCAATACATTTGGCGGCCAAAAACATTTATCGAGGATTTTCTTGATTAGACCATTATAATAAATCTACTTAAAAAATAATTAGAATTATTATTAGGAGAGATCTCAAATTAAAAATAAAGATATTCAGAATAAAGTAAATGTGATTTTGGTGGAAGATATTGAAAGTGAGATTAATATAGTTTGAGTTTTAGTATATAAAGATATTCTAAAATGTGATTAATTATGACATAACATACTTTTAATTTACTGAGAAGATAATTTTTGATGAAAATACTTAATAGTGTGTTATCTTATTTATTTTTTCATACTAATAATCGTAGTATTATTCTCATAAATTCATCCTTCAATATTTATTATAATGTCTCATTTGTCCTTGTTCAAATAATCAAAACTCTTCATTACAGAAAAGAAAGTGCATATATAAAGCTTGTATATCTCATTTAAAATCTAATATATCAAATAAATAATCTTAATATTACTCATTTTCCATATTGTAATAGTTAGTAGTCTGTATACTTTATTTATTATCCAAGGGTCAAACTAGTCCCAGGCCTAAAGAAATACTCCACTAATAAGAAGAAGGAAATAGAAATAAGCAAAATGACTTGACTATCAATCTTAAAGCTGCAAATCAATCAAATACTATACTACTCTTTCTCCCTTTTTTTCCTTTCATTTTTATATCAAACTCACTAATAATGTCTTCCTCCGTCTCAATTTATATTACAATTTAAATTTTGAAAATCAATCAAGAAGCTCTTTGATTGTGAGATCAAAATAAAAAGATATAACGCTCGAAATCCAAACTATATTATATAGGAAGGAAAGGAGAATGAAAAATCAGTTTACCTTTATAAAGTCAAAAAATCATAGTTTCCTTATTTGACTATAAAAACAAGCAACTGTTTTCAAAGATTCACTGTTTGTTGCTTCTACTAAATCACCAAAAACATGCTGTATTGTGACAGTGTTTTTGACAAACCAATTTAATAGTTTTCCTTTTTCCAATAAAAAACACCTACTACTACTATTCATATTTCAATGAAAATAAACTACTCCACACTGTTTTAAAAGATTTTGGCCAAATATCCTCTTCTTGCTAACTGTCATTTATCAGACTTTGCTTATTTTTGTTGTTTCTAAGTTTGACCATACCTCTTTTAGCTAACACACCATACCTTATACACTATTTAGGATATCATAATCTGAATTCACAAAGTAGAAAACTGAACTGTTCATTTCTGTACAATCAAACTTTTATAGTTGATGCTGGACAAGAAGTTGCCTTTTCTTTTGGACTATATAGTAAAGTTGGTCATGTGTTTGATTTTGAAACTTGCTTTTGGGATTGACTTTTGAAAAGGTGGTTCTAATTGGTTAGTGCAGTAGTTCTGTATCTTCAGATGTATTGACTTATAACCAACGAGGGTTACGGTAGAGTGATACATACTCCATTCTAATTATGGGAGTTGCCTTTGTAAAGGAGCGCTTCAATATGAATACTGAATATTAAGTGAAAAGTAAGAAAATGAATGAATTGACTCTTGAGAAACATGAATCCCTTGAACAGAAGAAACCATATAGGTGCATTTCTAATGATTCATTTATCCCAAATTCCCAATTCATAAAGCAGTTATTGTAGTTTCACACAAACATTTGATTCTAACAGCAATAAAATAAAAGGAAATCCAGAAAACCTATGTCGATAGAATCTGGTATTTATAGCTACAAAAAGACTTGAGCATGGGAACTTAAGAAACGTGGCGAAGAGGTGATTGACATCTGAAAGCACCAGAGCTCCCCTCTCTTTCCAATTCTCGATTAAGCTACTCGACTCTGAACATTGTAACCAAAGATCCTGAGCAATAACTAAACGTCCTGAAGCAACTCATCATCGTTGCAGGTACTGAGTTCATCCAAAAACAAGAAGCAATCTTTCTGACCTTTACAGTTCATTGATGTTGTACTAAAGCGTAAGTGAAAAATTCAGCTTAGTTAGTTTTCTTCTCGTCTTCTTTCAGTGCTGGAGTATCTGAACTACTGGCAGCTTGATCCACATCTTCCGCAGCAAAACCAAACTCATTCACCCGTTTCTTATCTACTGGATAAACCCATCTCTGATATAGCATAATCAAAAATATAAGATCTGCATGGCAAAGGCAGATGAAATATCAGTAACCCAGAGTGAGCTAATGCACAGAATAGAGCCACAGAAACGCATAGAACATTTGTAATGATAGACTTCTAAAACAAGACGGCCACAAAAATTACTGCTCAACATCATCTAAGCTGAGGGCGGATGTAAAAGCTTAAAAGGAACAGTAGCATCCAGGCTCTGTTTATTTACCACTCCTTTCATTTACACAATAATTATCACTATCAGTACCTAAAAATAGCAAACTCTAAAGTAAATCCAGTATATGAGCTGTTGCAATTAAAGAACCAAGTTCATCTTTTATAATGGTTAGAGAGCTCGAGCTTCTGCAAAAATGTGAATAGTAATCAATATTGTATTCTCTAACATTGAAAACACATACTTGGCATCTTAAAGAATACTGGCATGGATCATCTCACGTGGATGTTCTTATCTAGCTGGTTACTTGGTTAACCAAGAAACTTTCAAGATCTTGAGACGGTCAATGAATCTCTCTAAAGAGAGTGTACAACGTTCACAGGCTTTGAGCTTATGATACAAATATGAATTCAAGTACAGCATTGAACAGGAAATACTAGCTTGGATTCCAAGAGTCACGGAAGAGAACGACGCCACTGCTTAACCCAATAAAAACAATCAATCGACTAGAAAGGAATTTATTTCAAAAACTTACCATCACGGAACACAGACAGGCGATGTAGCATTGGCATTTTTATCACAAATGCAAACAAATCATCAATGATGGTATTTAGAAATTTGTAAGTCATCTGCCTCCAAGGTAAATGAGCAACAGACTTCAGTTTATAATTGATGAACAACTGTGGACACATCATAATAAAACCTGCAGCAGTAGTAGTAGAAAATAATTAGATTAAGAAAAAGCAAAGTGATAGAGAGCTCCGCGAGGCTCAGAACTACGTTACTAGATCCTAGATACCAGAAGATAGAGAGTCCAGAGAAATGGAGAGCAATCATATGAAAAGATCGACAAAAACTTACCAAACATATAAACGCAGCTTGTCAGGGATGAGAGGATCCATGAATACCAACTCTTGTGGCGGTCATACATTAGAGAGTATATGGCAAAGCACACAGCAAGGAAGAACAACACATAGGACAAATATTTCATGGCAAGATCATCATATTCTTTCGTCTTATTTCCAGCATATGATTCCCGATCTCGGAACCTCAACATGGGTATTCTACCAGATCTGTCAATCTAGAAATCAAGGACAATTATCAATAAAACTACTGGTGATTAGAGTTTGAGCTTAATCAGTCACCGTATGTTAAAGAGAAGCATTAGTTCTGAATAATACATTGATAAGTTTGAATTCTCAATTATTAATCACAAGTCCCATGTAGTATTCTATCCCCAAGCCACTCAAATTTCCAAGTTCATCAAAATAAGATTATGAGAACCCCACGAGAAGCAATTATGTTAGATAAGGACACATGAAACTTTGTCAGAGTGTGTGTGTGTCTCCTGAATACTTGTCAATAAAGAAGAATCTAAGTGTAAACAATGAATTAATATGGATGATTCAGAAAAAAAATGGAGATATCCATACAACCTTGACTCAAACTTCCAACCATTGTAACAGTAAATAATGGAGAGAACTGACAATCAAACACCAATATGAAATTACATGACGATATTATTACAACCACTGGTAATAAAAGAGCTAAACAAAAACTTGACTCCATTATTAGTGATCATACCTCAATGTGCATGGCCTTCCCTATTTTCCAGAACTCAATGCAACAACCAACACCAGAACTAGCAAGTATCATCCATGAAGTATCATTATCAAGCAAATACAGGAAGACAATAAACTGGCAGAAAAAGTTCACAATCACTGATTTTGCAGATAGCCCTTCCATGGACTTGTTTTTATTCCAAAATTGAATATCTGCAAGGAAAATCAAATATACTCTGAATCCAATCTACTCCACACTTCCTGTAATTACTTTTAGAAGGCCAAATGCTCACTACTATACTTACCATTCTTGAATGCCAGGAAATCAAATAGTGAATGCATTACTGAAACAATCATAGTCACCCCCAGAAGGTACGGATTTCCTTCCAGAAACACTCTCTGGAAAAAGTGTAATAAATCACATGTCAAACACATAAATAGCAGATGTTGCTAAAATTTCACATCATTGCTACAGCAATCTAAAGCAGGACCTCTAATATGTTAGTTTGGACTTCTGGAGTTGAATTTTTTAAAATATTCAGGGGAAGAGAACATAAATTGGTACTGATGTAACCAAGTACTACAAACAGAAAAAGGTAAGCATATTCTAGATAAATAAAACAGAATATACACTAATAATGTACTTTTCTAGCTTTTCTATTTTGAAATGTCCAGCATACTCTTGAGCCTTATGGTGTCTGCATAAAATTCATGTTTATCTACTCACTACTCAGGCTTAATGACAAATCATTCACATCTGGATATTTCATGTGCAAAAATGTTGCGCCAATGGGTACTGCAAAACAAAGTAAATCATACCTTTAGTTCATCAGACTCCCCGTCGAGCATGCTACCATAACTACGATGAACTTGGAAAGACTGGTCCATCTGCAGGAATAGCTGCCATTTTGTCATGCTTATGGGACTCACCTCTAGATGCAGAGGCACCTCAGTTACCGTATCATTGATAGCTATTAATTTATCCCTAAGCAACCAAAACTCATTGAAGAAAACAGTCGGATAGTAGTTTCCTGTTGTAGATTCAATATTGATGTCTAACAAGTCAGGTCAAGGAATTGAACAGTGTGAAAATGTCTTTTGTGAACAAGAAGACCAGACAAAGATGCCAACTCACAGATAATAAATAAAAGAGCAAAAAGAAGAAAGGATTCAGCATGAAGGAAATCATAAATTTGCATCAACCAATATCTTCCACAAGTTCAATTGAGATGCTTCTTGCCTTCTCCAGAAGTACCTTACTATCGAAACTATTTTAGCAGAATACATTGTGTAAAAGGAACCCATGAGAAAAATAAAGAGACAGAGGAAGTAAAGGATACAAGGAGCAACAATAGGTGGAATGGCATTTGCAGTGTATCTGCAAAAAGAAAAGAGCAGAGTGTGGAAAAATTAACAAGATGTTAGAATTGTATACAGAAAAAGGAAAAGCAGTTCAACAGATCAGAAAGAGAGACACACATCTAGTTTAACAACAAAAATGTATATAGCAAAGTACTATATGTAAGATTGTCATTTTAAATTGGTTACAGAAAACATAGCTAAATGAAACCAAATTTACTATTCAAACTAGAACTTCAAGAAATTGCTGGTCAAAGTAGGCATACCTTGTGAAATCATCGACCAAGTTGATTGTAACATTAGGTTTCCAATATGAAATCCATTCAGGAGGACCATCCTCCTTAAGATCATGTTGAGCTTCTTGAACCGCCTGAGGAAACTGCTCATCATACTTCATGATTATATGCCATAAAAAATCATCCATGGTGTGATGAAAGGGATGACAATGCATTTAAAATAAACAAAATTTATTACATTACAATGTAAATTAGTCAAAATACGCATTCTAGTCTAGTGTTCAGGGAAGCGTGTGGAAAAAGTGACAAGGCCCTGCTTCACGCTTTAAGCAAAGCATGAAGTGAAGCGTAATTTAAGAGAAAAAAGACCAAATAAATATAAATCCATCAGGCATTAAATGCAGGAACAAATGATCTCAATGCGCACACCATGAAAAAATGCACAGAAATATTGCATACAAACACAAGTCAGAATATAAAAACACAGGTGTACCTCAGGAATGGTGACATCCTCCTTCGAGTCCTCAGAATTTCTTAAAAGGCTCTTCTTTTTATCTGCTTTAGACTTGGGTAAATATGTCACAATAGCTGAGTTCACAAAAATAGTACATTAGTATTAGGCACTCACAAAATTCCACCTTCTATAACCCTAGATAAGGACAAAAACTTCACAGATAACATGATCTTACAATATGTCCGTCCAAAAGCAGCCAATGGCTGATACTCAGGATCATTTGGATCTGGAGAATACCCAGAACGTGCAAAGTAAACATGAGCATAAAGACTCCCATTGTTCTTCACTGCCTGAGAGGAAACAATCATAGGCAGCCAAGTACAGATAAGTACTATACCACAGTAAAAGATAGTGCAAGACAGTAAAAACAAATGCATCCAAAAGAGAAAGGCAGTATCCTGAATCAAATGTTTGTTTGTATTGAACAACACATTTTAAAGGCAGTTAATGTTGAAGATCTTGCATTTACCAGTTTCCAAAAAAAAAAATGTTACCTCAGATAGATGATACTTCAAAGAAAGAGACCTGGTACTCTCTGGTCCCCAAACTGCATATGGTATGTTTGTCTCATGCCAAATAAGTGCACCTTCATTACCAAAGTCACTGAAATTTTGTTGTTCGGAAAGATAGAACCACATGTCCTATTAAACATCCAAGCCCGAAACTTTTAAGTTGAGCATAATTTGTTGTTAAATAAGATGTTGCATTCACAAAGCAGTTCTCAGAAATACTTGGCATAATTGTGTAATGGAAAGGTAAGTTAAAGAACCCCTACACCCACCTCCTCTTTACCTCAACACATGCATCTAATTCATCAATATTTTCAGATTCATCAATATTTTCAGAATTGATTTATTTCCATTGCATAATGACCACCTTTTCATCTTTCTTTTTTTTTCATTTTTTTCAGAAATGTAAGAATATATAAAGACAGTGTTGGGTGCCATGTCTACATTTCAAAGACCAAAAAGAAAAAGTACATGTCTTTGATTCTTCTTCTGGCAAGTACTCTAAAATAGTTATGAATCTCTCTAAAAACTTAAGCTTCAAGATAGATTATTACACACCTCAAAGTATAGTTTTTTTTTTTTTTTTGCAGCAGATTTAACTGAACTCCCTACTTTCAGCTCAAACCATATATACAAATAAAAATAAATACAAAAGATGCATGTATAAATATTAATAATAAACTTCACATAGTCCGAACGCATTAATTGTAATTTAATATTAGATAAATTCAACTAACCAAAGGTTCGCCTTTGTTGAATAGATTTGAGATCTGGAGATTAGGAACCGACGGATCGGACATAGGCTTTTTCGGTGAGAAGAACTTGGAAGCAAAGTACCAGAAAACCGCTATTCTTATTACTCCCGTCAGCATCTGTCCAATTCCCCGCTGCTGTTGCTGCGGCTGAGCCGCCTGTTCCTGCACTTCTCCACCACCTCCATTCGCCGGTGGCGCCATCGATTCTTGACGGAACTAGCTCGGTTTACAGTACAAATTCTCCGATCACTTGCCGCCCGGCGATAAAATACCGAGTGAAGTGAAAGACTGAATATTAGTGAAAGCAGAGGTTTTATATAAATCTCGAGGCGATTGAAACAGAGAGATATTTTATTTTATTTTTAGGGAGAAAGTATAATTGGAATAGAAATCTAAAACTAAAATTAAGCAAAAATAATCTCAAACCTAAAATTTAGTACTATTAAATCATATAAATTTAAATTAGATAATTTAATATTGAATTTTTTTATCTCGTGTCTACTTTTCGTATAAAAAAATTATATTAATAAAAGTGAAGGATTTCTTCAAATAATATAAGTTGTTTGGTATGGGGTATAATATATAAGAATCTTAAGATAAAATGTATAATTATTTTATCATGCTTTTGGTTTAGTTATTAGGTAGTCATGAGATTATTTATCCCACAATTTATACCTTACTGATGGGATAAGTTATCTCATGTACATAGTGGAATAACTTATTCCGTAATAACTTATACTTGAAAAGTTAATCCTATGATAACTTACTCCCAAACCAAACGACCCAAGGGTTTAGGTTAGACATTCCAATAACTCAATAGACTCGAATCTTGTCTCTACCCAATCTGATCAATTAGATGTTGAGAATACAAAATATTGATCCAACCGAACGACCCAAGGGTTTAAGTTAGGCATTCTAACAAGTCAGTAGATTTGAATCTTGTTTCTACATGATTTAATCAATTAGATCTTGATAATACATAATATTGATCCAATTTAGTATAAATACTAATATTGAACAATCTTATCATTTAAAAGTTAAGGATATATTTGCACTTCATGTTTACATAAACTCATATAAACTTAATTAATAAAGTTAAGTGATTTAATAAAGTGTTCAAATAGTGAGTAAGTTTCAGAATAAGGGTAAGCACCAATGAAAATAAATGACTATTATGTTCGTTCAAAAACACTATAATAACATATTATAAGATAATTTTATATTTTTCTTAAATTTGATTGTATCTAATTATCAAAAAAGTTCATCACTAATTAGATTTTTAATATAAAATTAATATAGCATTGACATTATTGCCCTCTTTTATTATGCTTGGGGTTAGTGACCCGATTTATTTCCATGTTAATCAAACTTATTAAGAATATTCATAAGATTAAACTTTCAACTTCATCAATTCAAATTTGTGTGTCTCGACTTTTGATGATCGTGGTATCCGAATCACTTTTTGTGCACCTCAACCATTGAGTATTAAATCAGGGGATAAGGGTCTGAAAAATATCCCAATTTTGGTCGAATTTGTTGTTGCGATACTAAACTTTCATAAGGACCTATTACCTCCCTAGACTATTTAATACCGTATTTTTTACTCCCTAAACTATTTAATAATGTATTTTAAAGGTATATATGTGCCCACGTGGACACATTACTATTTATAATTTTGCATTATTTTTTATGTCCACGTGGGCAAATATATATGTTTAAAATACGATATTAAATAGTCTAGAGAGGTAATAGTTCCTCATGAAAGTTTAGTATCGCAACAGCAAATCCCACCAAAGTTGAGGTATTTTTCAGACCTTTATTCCTTAAATCAGAGACATCAGGGTTCTCAACCATTTTATTAGTCATTAAGCCATACCCTTTGATGCAATGTATTTTTATATAGAAAAAACAATTAATTGATATATTTTAATAAGGCAAAAGTACTCATTACCCCCTGAACTTGAAGCTTTTTATACGGTGTACACCTAAACTAAATTCCATTTTAATTACCCCGAACTTGTTTATTCCTCCATTGCGTACACCTTTTTCGTCCACCTGCTCCTATTGTGACTACACGCGCGCGACAGCTGACAAAAGTGGTGATGTGAATTTCCACCTGGATAAATAATAGCCACCTGGATAAATTAATATTGCAAAAAATAAATTTCTTAAATTTAAAATTCATTGTTTAAAAGTTATTTTTGAATAAGGGCTGATTTCGCGGAACTCCTTTTGTATTTGAGTTTTTCTAGACTTGAAGTTGGTCGATTAATTTTCAAATTTGTTTGACATTCTTACCAAGTAAGTGTTAATATTTGTTTCCTTTACTTTTCATTTACATTTTACCCTATTTTTCGTTTAAAATATGCCAAATATTAAAGACAAATGGAGATTTTACGTTTTTTTTTACCGTTGTAGCTTTGTGATGTGGACAAAAAATCACTTCCTCACGCGCCTAGTAGAGTGTGTTGTCAATTTCTACGCCAGGTGGAACGAAAAAGGTGTACGCGACGGAGGAATAAACAAGTTCGGGGTAATTAAAACGGAATTTAGTTTAGGTGTACACCGTATAAAAAGCTTCAAGTTCGGGGGGTAATGAGTACTTTTGCCTTTTAATAAAAGCATATAGAGTTCATTAATATTTTGAGAATATTTTAAATTTTCAACTAAACATTCTTTAATCATGTAGTACATTCTTAAAATATCAATTACATGTTAAACATATCATTGTTATATTTCAAAATAATAAGTTAGTTATGTTTATCAAAAAAAAAAAAAAAAACTAATTCTCATTAGTTTTGTAAGTTTGAGTAACAAAGGATGAAACTTGTTAATTTTGAGAATAGATAAGGATGCAAATCGAATGTTTAAGTAACAAAAGAATGAAACTAGTTAATTTTGAGAATAAATAAAAATGCAAATCGAAGAATTGAGTTTTGATCCATTAATTAACCTATGTTAGTCTGAATAAATCATATATTAATTAATTTATCTTATTTTGACACGTCTAAATTCAGTCCAATTTGTTTATTTATTGCCTTTAGACTACAAATTACTCTATTTTGTTAGTTTTTTTTTGTAACTCTAGATAACGGAAGGACGAAACTTATTAATTCTTAAAATCAACAAGGATGTTGTTTTGTTCATAGTGATACTTCAAGGACAAGTTTTAGCAATAGGTATAAATTAAGAGGGTGTTTTAGGTTAAATTTGAAAAAAACAAAAAATACAAGTAGACGTTTTTGCTTATAAATTTTCTATTCCATTTATACCCTCGTTAACTTTGTGCTCTAAATCAAGCAAAATCGCCTCTGTAATTTGTCTCTTACAAAAATTTACAGAGAAAAAGATTGATTTTTTCGGCTCCTTCTTTTGCTGCGTCTTCGCCATCGATAAGGTGACCGGAAAGTTCACAACTTCTTTTTATTTTGGGGATTTTCATGATTTTTGCTGTTTTGTGTGTGTGTAATTAGATTAAAAAATTTAGCCTTTTTTTTGCTTGTCTGGGTTTTTTCTGTTTGCAGATCGTATGCTAATGAAATGGAATTGGTAATCGCTGAATAATTGTTGTGGCCTCCTGGGTGATAAGCTTTTAAATGTTAATTCTTTTGAGATAAAGAGAACTTTGAATTTGCTTGAAATGACTAATTTTTTTAGTGTTGGGATGAAATTGGAAAACCTAACTGATTTTGGAGTGAGCCCTAGTTGATTGATTGATTAATCACTGTGGTTTTTGTTGTTATGGGTGTATGTAATTAGATTCAAAGATTTAGTTTCTTTTGGGTTTATCTGGTGTTCTTTCTGATTGCTGATGTTATTGTTATGAAATGGGATTGGCAACTGCTGAAAAATTGAAAATGTTAATTCCTTTGAGATGTAGAGAATTTTGAATTTGCTTGAAATGGCAAGTTTTTTTAAGTGTTGGTATGAAATTGGAAAACCTAATTAATTTTGTAGTGAGACATAGTTGATTAATTGATTACTCACTTTTTCTTTTTTTTTAGTAATTTTCTTTTTTGCCCCCTTTTTCCCCTTTCTCAGTTGATGGCGTGTTGGTTGAACTAAAAAATAATCTTTATAGGGAAGTATGATGCTTGCTTGAATCGAAATGGAAATGCCGGTCCACCAATTATGTTTGCTCATTATTATATCAAATTTTGAATTTTGTAAGCTTGCTACTAACCAAAGATATAAAAGATGATATCTTGCCTTTAATTGAAAAAATATGATATCTTGCCTTCAATTAAATTCGCAAAATAGAAATAAGATCTATGGTTGTAGAATTTTAATAAGACATGAAGCTAGCTTGCAAGATCGTCACTAGCATGTGAATGTTACTTATAAATGGCTTTGCATTTATTAAGCTGTTTGTGGATTTGGTGAAAAGTTTATAACTTTGTTACCTAAAGATGGTTTTAGTTGTTATTTTCTCAGAACAACATCAATTTTGGTGGATGATATTCATCAGGTTTTAATGTTTTGCAGGTTGTGGTTCTTTAGGTTCCTTAATTTATATGCTGAAAAAGCCAGAATATGAGTGGTACTCCGAACAAAAGACCTCATGAGGATGGTGGAAATGGTGGGGGTAGTAACCATAGTTACTCTTCTGCTCCAAAATACTCACATGACGACTCTGGTGCATTCCCCAAGGTGATGAGCTCGGGAACACCTGAATATCATGCCTCCTTTGATGTGGGCCAGAATGCTCGGATGCCAAAGATTCAACGGACTGAATCATCACGAGATGCAGATAGAAGATCTCCTGTGCTACCAATGTACCGTGTGTCATCATGTCCAGTTGTTTCACATCCTGATCATTCTATTGCTTCAGAAAATAGGTTGGAGCCCAAGGAAATTAACAAGGATGTCAAGGTTGAGAATCGTGATGCGAAAAGTGAATTAAGGGAGTTGTACCAAGGGGCTAAATCTGACAAGGATGATAGATTTGAGAACAGAGCTGATGATGGTAAGGACATTAAAAATAGTAGGGATACTTACCCTGAATACAAGGGAGATGTGAAGGCAGATAAGGACAGGTTTAGCGGAGTGAGTTGGAAAGATTCGAAAGAACAGAACAGGGGAAAAAGATATCCTGATCTCCCTGTTCCTGTCGGGAACATGGATCCATGGCATGCGTCAAGAACCCATGGTGCTGCTGAGATAGGAAAAGAAGTCTCAAATTCTGAGAACAGGGATTTTGCTAAAGTGCGTGAAGCCGTTGCTGAAAATAAGATGGATTTGAAAGGTGACGATAAATACAAAGATAAAGAGAGAAAAAGGAAAGAAGGGAAGCACCGGGAATGGGGAGATAGGGATAAAGA